TAACAATTCCTCTATTGTATCTATATTAGTTAGCGCTAGTTGGGTTTGATAAAATGGAGTTATGTTATTCATTACAATTTTAAGACGAGACTTTTCCGAGAGTTTTACTGATAACCTACTGAATAAATTCTCCATAACCGCGATATATATCCCTATGGATTCATTAGGACCCATAGTTCGATTCTTTATTTCTTCGAAAAGCTTGTCGTTGTAATCCCGTGGCTGAAATTGTTTCCTAAGTAAGACTACTAACGATCGCCAATCTTGTGCCTTTTTACGCGCCGACAAGTACCAAATATATGCGCGACCCTGGAAAAGATCTATGCCAGATCGGAAAAGTTCATCTTCAGAAACGTTACGAGCCATTTTTAATTCATCTACTCTCTCCAGAAAACTACTAAGAGACATCGAATTACTTTCGCCCGAAAATTTCAGATTCCACTGGGAAACTGGCACTGACTTTGGTCTTGGCGGGTTGTTCGTGCTACCCTGTACCGTGGAACTAAAAATTTCCTCTTCAGATTCGTCAGTTGAGGAAGAGCCTGAACCAAAAGTGACCGAGTGTTCCTGACTAAGTTCCATACGCCTAAATGCCCTAACCTTTTTTGCAACCTCAGAGTTTATATTTAGAACGGTAACGAGGTGATTAGATCTAACCGCTTTTTCAGCTGCAGATGTAGGCTTACTACGATTTATTCGACCTAATGTAAAAGCCCCTTTAGACACCAACTTCTTATGTTTATTGTCATCCGAACCGTCAAAATCTGTTAACAGCCTATTCAATTCCGCAATTTTTGCAATTAACGCAGTACAATCGGCCGCAAACTCGTACGGGTGATCGGGGTAATCAATTGGAGTTCCCCTTCTTTCCAATCTCAAAAGATTTCGCAAAGTTTGCCTCATAGGCTCAACCGTCGTCTGATCAGTAACTCCTCTGACCGCCAATTCATACGTCAACTCATCAGAACTCAATCTATTCACTTCGTACTGTGGCGGAGCCATATTAACTCTTAAATCGAAAAAATATTCAAAAAAAAAAAATCAGAACTTGATAACCTGACAAAAACAATATCTAGTAATATGAAGAAAAAAAAAATACCAGAGAAAAGCAAGAAAAGAAATCAAAACAAAACCCTACCAATACAACCTTGGAAAAAAAACATAAACGGGAAAAACAGTCCAAAAAAAAACTGCCAATTTCTCCAACAAAATTTTCCCGAAAATGCACCTACTCCCATCCACTTAGAGACAGGGAAAAAAAATAATCCTATTTTGGCAATTCAAAAAAAAAGTTAAATAACCGAACCGAAATTAATCGATCCACCCAGTAAAAAAACTTACTTACAAAAAAAAAAAACCAATCCAACATTAGTACCTTGAACCTACATAATAAAGAAAATCACTCATCGATATTCAAATAGGTCAACACAATAAAATTCACCTTAGAAGGACAAAAAAAAAACTGCAAATCCTATAGTCAATAAAATTCGAATAAATTTGAGAAAAGTGACTAAAATATAATATTATATGCATTCAATGAAATATTTTACCTTTAAATTTATGTTAATCCCAAAATAGCAAAAAAAATAGGATGGCAAGCATTTATTATTGCAATTATAGTTAAGCAACGCAAATAGTTCTAGTTGCCAAAAAAAATTCTTTTAAACAAAAACCTACCATTAAATTAAACTACCCTTGGTGGAAAGCAGCCCTTAAGTTGGGCGCCAAAATTTGCTACACGCTAATATATATATTGAAGAAAAGTTAATCAAATAAGGATAATAAAAAAAAAATATATATATATTATATATATCGATTTAGTTTATTAATTATGTTTCTTTAATATAATAACAGGTTTGGGGTCAGCGGGGTGTAGCAAATAATGCCTAGCTAGTCCGGTGTGAGTTCGAGCGCCACTGGCTCGACGCAGCTTGAGCCAGAGAGCTTACTGGTTTTCAGTACTACCCCAAAACCCTAATTAGACAAACACACAATTCTTGTGAAACAAAACTCCCTGAATATTTAATTTAAGTAATAATAGATGATTCTGTTTAGTAGTAATTAATAAATTTATAAAACCTAAAAATATTGGCCAATCCCAGTTGTGATCACAACCGGTTTACACGGTCTTTTATACGAATAATTATTTAATGAATTGCCTAAAATTTATTATAAGGCCCACAGGCCACCTTTTATTTGAGACTTTATGAAATAATTTAATATTTGAAAATAAAAATAATCTATCTGCTTTTCCACCAAGTTGATATAGAAAGATTGCTCTTCCTCCCTTATTAAAATTTCTCTATGAGTTAGGTACTTAGCTGGAACACGTGTTGTGTTACAAATCCGAGAATGGAAGCTATCTGTCAGGACATCCAGTTCCAAATCGAATCCAATAGGTTTTCTTTCTCTTTGAATGCCGATCGAATTGTCTATTTAATGGTGGTTGATTGGTAGGACTACACTAACATCCAAATAGGAAGAGAAGCCCTACAAGATCGGAGGAAAGGAAATAGTTATTTCTAGAAAATTCGTTGGGGTCAAAAAGTTTGACTTACGTGGTTGTTGTGTGGCTTTGAAGTAGTTTATTTCCTCTATAGCTGGAAAGCTATAATACTTCCAGACGAGAAATGTTCTACAGAAGGAATCTTGTGTTAGTTACAAATAAAAAAACACGTTTGGGCTTACCTCAGAGGTCAAAGTGGAAGGCGGAATAAATCCGGCAAATAAGCCGATAGCGGTAAATTTCACCGATAACTAACTCACTCAGGAGCAAAACCAAATAAATTTACTGCCAAAAAAAAAAGTATCTCACTTTCCCAAAACTGGAAACCAAAAATGTGGTTTAATTTGTGACGATACAGTCCACGCGACCAAATGACTTCTGACCGACCTTTTTCTGTTCGGTACTTAGAACCCAAAAAAAAACTAATAATTTAAATAGGTACCATCGGAACCACTGCCGACACCTTGGGGCAAAAAAAACAAATTCCAACAAAACTGCGACAATTTGCAAAATCGTACCTAGAAATAAATAATGATCTTTCAAGGAACCATCAAAAGAGGCCACCACTTGCATGAACATGGAAAATAATTCCAGCCTAGTATTTGAATGAGTCCCCCATAAATACATAAATAGATTCCTTTAAAAAAAAACGTAACAAAGTAAAAAAGTGAACATTATTCTTTATAAATAATGTATAAATAACTGGTAACTAATAACAATATTTTCACGCATAATTGTTTTAAATAAACCTTAATTATATTTCAGCCTCGTCTCCGAAAATAAACCACTGTATAGTATCCTTTTCTACCTACCATCTCACACACATTCCATTGCAACCTAAATAAAATCGATATTTCGCAAGGGTACCATCCCTACCTTGCGCTGCGCGTGGATACTTCAGTCTTTCTCTGTGTGTCATCTCGTACGCATCGCCGCGCCGCGCGAAATCCGTAAAATAAAAAAATACGAGAAAATTCGAATTTTCGGTTTGACCACGTGTTGTATACAACAAATTAATTAATTTTAATTAGTGTGTGTGTTATATTAGGAGCACGGGACAGGATGTCCAGACGTAGGGATAGAAGTAAGGAATTAGAGGAAAAATTACTGTGGATGGCTGGCTTTTTGGAGAAGATCTAGAGACGAGAGTTAAAACGTCGAAAGAGCTGGAACGTACAAGCCTTGAGTTGAAACCAGAACAACCCAAAACAACGGGAAAAGTTTCCACAACTACGAAAACTTTAAACTCCAAAGGTTCCACTCGTGTTCTTCAGGGAAGCAGACAGAGGGGACCTCGTCAATACCAACCACGAGCTTTCGATTATGCTTACACTCAATATGAGGAGGGACCAGGAAAAAAGAAATTGGAAACATCAGGCTCAAGGAAAGAAGGAGAAATCTTACCGTTAATTACTCAGTGTTTCGTCTTTATTCTAAGTAAATTTTATACAATTTGGCAAAGGTACAAAATTCCTGTTTGCTCGCATTTTTTGTTTTCGCGCAAAAAAAAGTTATTATTATTATTATTATTATTAGTTACAATAGTAAACGGTTATGACCGATGAAACTGTTGTCATAATTTCCGTGGTTCTTTTTTGGCTTTTCAAAATATTCAGCTTGTTCATTTACAGTCCGAAGTGAATGTTCACACTAGTCAGCACTTCCCGTTGATTATCTAGTGTGTTTTTGAATGAGTTAATACTTGGAGCGCTCACAGTTGTACCTCTAGATGTTGATGTTGATACTGGACGAACCAGAAGCGAGTAATTTTGAAACAGACTTTCTAAGAAACCCGCGCGTGTGTGAAGTAGGGCCCTGCAGGAGTGCACTTATGGAATCATTTGGTAAGTCCTTTTTTTATTATATAGAGGTTGGTTCTTGCCAGCCGTCAAACTTAGAAAAATAATCCGTCGTATGAAAAAATATTGAAAAGTCGTATTTTCTTATTTTTCCTTCTGACACCTAGATGGTGTTTCACGTTCAAATTTGTAGGGATGCTTGTTCAAGGGATGCTTTATCATCCCTCAAAAGGAAAATTCCTTGCCAGCCGTCAAACTTACGAAAATCATCTCTCGGAAGAAAAAATATTGAAAATTTCATATTTTCTTATTTTTTCTTCAGACACCTAGATGATGTTTCACGTTCAAATTTGAAAACATGCTTGTTCAAGGGATGCTTTATCATGCCTCAAAAAGAAAATTCCTGGCCAGCCGTCAAACTTACGAAAATCATCTTTCGGAAGAAAAAATATTGAAAATTTCGATTGAACCTCTGTTGTTTTGTCTATTAACTGCTCCATATAGCACCCATGTAAAACCGCTTCAAGTTTTTATTTGTTTATTTAATAATACATAGTAAGGCAGCTCGTTATTTAACAATTCGGTGACCATGATATGGTTTCGAGCCAGAGAACTCGTGGACACTAAGAAATCGAGCTCTGGAAATGGCCTAGCAGCAAAGCCATACACCATACACGGAACAACAACAACAAACAACTTAATTAATAAAAATGTTTATTGAAAAAAAGTTGTCTTCGTCACCACAATAACAAAAATATAATTACATAATAATAATTATTGAAGATCCTAATTTATAATTCTATAAATTTCATGTTTATCAAATAAATTATCGAGTATATTTTTTTTTACTCGTTTTCGGCTATAAACCTACTACATTTTTTTTTTGTCAAGTAATGCTTTTTTAATGTAATAATTTTGTAATACTGGTTCAATTTTACATACAACGCACTAATAGTGGGTACTTAAGATTTCCATTATTGTTGATATGCATGTAAAACCATTTAAGCTAAGTCATTAATTTCCTTTTCCTTTTCTATTTCAGCTTTGCTCTTCAAAGGTTGCAATTCTTTCCCGTTCACATAATAGTCGTCCGGGTTATTCCATTTTTGTAACTTCCCACTGCCAAATATTAAATAGAAAACTGCTCCGAACAGATACGTTAATACCAAAATCCAGAAAACGTATTTCCATGTTTCAAAAGTGCTCACTTCTACGGTTAAAATGGCGACAATTTTCGTAGATAACCATCCTCCAAAACTGGATAAGGTATTGGCCAAGCCGAATATGGTACCGGAGAAGTTTGGTGCAATATCCAGGGCGTTTGCTAAATATCCAGCTGTAACAGCGCCATTGAAGAACAGACTTATTGTGAATACCGATACAGATAATGCAGCATTCATGCCCCAGATGGCTTGGATCATCATGAGGAAAGCTGGAATTAGAATGGCAAAAGTTGTGAACACTTTTCTGGTCGCTGTTGTTGATAATTTTCCAGTTTTTCGCAATCTGTCTGCTATGTAGGATGCTATAATAGCCATAATATATTTTGCTGAAACGGAAAAAGAAACATTCAAGTAAAGGATTTTATCTCATAATCAAATTATATCTTAATAGGTCTGTTTCCACAGAAATCACAAGCCAGTCAGAGCGAATTTCATTGGTTGAAAGTAGTCAGGAAACTGGTTGTTGGAGAATTGGATCAATCAAAAACGCTCTGACTGGTTTGTGATTTCTGTGGAAGCAGAACTAATATCAATTATATGGACAAAAGTTACTCACCTAAATAGGGTAAACTGCTAAACAATCCATTTTTCTTGACGTTGAATCCTAAAACTTGTTTCATGTATGTCGGTAATTGATTTACTACTGTAAAGTATCCGAATACAGAACACCCATGGGTTATTATAATGGCCCAAACTGGTAAACTTGTGAATATTTGTTTCCAAGGTACATAAGACGGTTTTGTCTTCTTTCCACCTAAAATAAATAATTTAAGTTTAGTTTATTTTAAATTAAATATCAAATCATCATGATCACAGACAATATTGAAGAAATATTAACGAATAGTAAAGACATAATAGAAAGATGGGCAAATCATTTTAAAAAACGATTTGGTGGAAAAGGAAAGAACGGAATAATTCATATCAAAGATGAATGGCAACACAATAAAATACCAAGGAAAAAAGAGCTATCATTATTATGAATTTTACCTTCTCCATCAGCAATTTTTGTTTCAATCTCTCTCCGTTCCTCTTCACTTATTCTGGGATGTTGTGCGGGCGAGTCGTAAATTATACAAAACCATAAAATAGACCAAAAAAGACCAACCACTCCTGTCACGTAAAAAACACTCTCCCAGCCTATGGTACTAATCAAATATCCGCATACGGGCATAGTAAGTGCTGCGCCTAAGCTTGACGCCATCATATTGGCTATAAATTTGGATCTGGAAACATTAAATAATTGAACTACGTACTCATTAAAAGTTACAATGATCATTACCGTATCACCTTTATAACGTTTACGGTATTAGATTTTACACATACAAGATAGGAATCTTACCTTTCCATAGGAGGAATCCAGTTAGATGCCATCGGTTGAATAGCAGGCCATGTAGCTCCCAAAAAGAATCCTAATACGGCCCTCAAAATCAGTATGGCATAGTAGTCGAGATAAGCCGCTGCGGGTGTGAGTATTGTGAGAATTGAGGCCATCAACATGCCGCCTCCGAATATCTTACGGGCTCCCACTATTTCGGCCATTCTGCCTCCTGGGAGTTCGGTAAGGACGTATCCCCAAAAGAAACTGCCTGTAAAAAATATGTTGAGATGTGTTAATGATATCTAAAAATAATTCGCGACGTGTAGGAAATAATGTATAAGATAGTTTTGGAGAACGCGCTAGAGGAAAAATCTACTTCCACTATAGGGATGCGTTCTGGTCTTCCTTTACCTCTAGTTGTCACTTTTGATTCTATATTATGTATATGAGAAAACTTATGTTTCCTTTCTCAACCTTACGGAGGATGTATCTCAGGCAGATAAACTCATCAACTTGAAATCCAGCAGCGTCAGACCAAAAATGCGATGTAGAGAATAAAGCAAACAAGATCCAGTGCATGTGATACAATATTGGTCTTGCGGAAGGCAGAATAACAAACGAAGTCTCAATCATGTAAGAATCGGGGAATGCCTACAAAGACCTTCTGTTTCTTTGAGTAATGGTTTACCTCAAACGAAAAAAATGTAGACCCATTACCTCCATGTTTTATAATAGTCTTTCTGAAAGAACATGGAATTTTGTTGATTGTGGGGATATTATGGAAGTTGATAGTAAGTGTGAAAGATTTGTAAATGTTCTGAATGAGCTATAATATGTTGTGTTTTCCTAAAAAACAGTTTGTAATGCGTTCAGAAAATAACATTGGTTGGTTTAGCCAGGAACTGAGAGCTATGAGAGAACACTTGAGGTTTTTGGGTGAAATAGGTAGGCAGTATGGTACCTATGGGAACAGAGAGTACTATATGCAGTATAAGCGACAATATAAAAAAGAGATCCTCGAAGCCAAACTAGCTTCAAATGATAAACGGATAATTTCTTCTAGTAACTCCAGTAGGAGCATGTGGGAAATTATTAATCAGAACACAGGAAATACAAAACAAAATATTGAATCAAAAAACCTTACTCCAGATGACTTCAATAAATATTTTTCAAATATCGCTAATGAACTTGTGCAGGGTATGCCAGAGTCAGATACTGATCCTTTGGAAAATCTCGAACATGTTAATCTTCAGCAAGTATTCTCCTTCTCTGATGAGATAAGTTTTAATGAAGTCAGAGATATAATAAACCAACTTGAAAACAAGAACAGGCGGGATACATATGGATTGAATGTAAATATTATAAAATCAGGTAAAAATCTGATCCGGTACCTCTCACAAAACTTATAAACTTGTGTATGTATGTTGTTGTATGTTGTATGTGTTGGAGGTGTCAGTTGCACCGCGACCTGATAGATCTATTGTACCCCTCCTTCTGCTGCCAGGCCAGGGCTTCCTGCTCAAAGCAGCCCCTCCAGTCCTAGGTCCTTAAGGAATCTTGGGATATCCAGCGGTTCCAGAGTTGAAATATCTTCCAACTGTATGGTGGGGCTTACCAGATTCTTCATCCTTGAACGACTAATGGCATTACAATTCAGTAAAAGGTGGTGAGGTGTTTCCTCTCCGTGATAAACTTGTGTAGGTATTGGGGAAGGATCCTTTCCACAGTGGATGAAAAGGGCAATTGTGATTCCTCTGTTGAAGGGTTGTCCAGATGAGGCAGAGAACTATAGACTGATATCGCTGCTACCCATACTGTCCAAAGTCTTTGAGAAATGAATGTCTAGGCAAATAGTAAGTTTTTTTTGAAGTGAATAATCTTCAATGAAAAAAAAAGATACACCATTTTAGGAGTCCTGAATCTCATGATATTATGGATGCTTTTGTTGGACACAACGATCTGTGTGATGGCAGACTCTCTTGAGGCTTCGTTGATGGGTTATCTCTGGAGGCACAGAGGATGGCTGAGAAATGGTTCAATTCGAATGGGTTGAACTGAAGCAAGACAGAGAGAATGGTGTTTGCTCTAAGAGAGATTGGGACAGTGTGGCACCTCAAGCTAGGTTCCTTAGAGTTTTATTGACCCAAAAGCACACATTGAGGCTGTAGCCTCAAAGCTCAACAGAAATTTGTATCTGCTTCAACATCTTGCAGAAAATGTTTCCCCCATGGTACTAAGGAGTGCTTATTTTGCAACTTTTTCAGACTCAACTTTCCTATGCTGTACTTGTATGGAGTCATGCCTCAGGTGCTCAGCGTATGTTTGGACTGCAGAGAAAGGCGCAGTCAGGGTGTTGAGCGGTTACAGGAATGACTGTAGGGCGGCTTTTCAACAGCTAGGAAAACTTGCCCTGCCTTCTCTATACATTCTAGAAAATTTGCTCTGTATAAAGAGCAATACTCATTTGTTTTCAACTACATGCCTATCCCACCGAGGTAATTTCATAACAGATTACAGGCGACAGAAGAGGTGTCTGAATGGCTACTGGGCCATAAAATATTTTAATGTGTAGCCATTGGAAATTAAAGAACTACCAATAAGGAGAGAATGAAACAAATCTTAACTTTAAATAATAAGTTTAATTCAAATGAAGAATCATAGTGTTAATTGTACCTTTTGTATTTTATTTTGTAACTTGATTGTATGTATAGAGCCCAGTGCCTCAATGATTTTTTTAATTGTTTGTCAAGTGAATGTTTAATGTACAAATGAATTGTCATTTTGTATTTTATACCCTACTGAACTATTATAAGCATATAATACCTTGGTTACGATAATCATAAATAGGGTCTTAACTCCCGCGCGAGAGTTAAGGATTTCATAACTCCCGCGCGGTAGTTAAGGATATCATAACTCCCAAGGGAGTTAAGGATTTCCATAACTCCCGCTTTTACCTTGAATAGGTAAAACTTTAAGAAAAAATAGAAATTTTGATTTATGGTTTATTCCTTCATAAAAATACACAGAATACAGTAAATTCAGTAGGATATAAAATTATCTACGTACAGTCGCGGCCATTGGAATTGGCACAAACTTTCAAAACGCACCTCGTATTGCATCAAAATCTGACTTTTTTAACAAGCCGGTAATAAGTCAGTGGCGAACTAGAACAGTTTTATAAGGTTTTTAAATAAGATTGAAAAAAAGAATACCATATTTTAACCAACGATGAAAAAGCGAAAGCAATTCTAATGATTTCACAAGGGAAAACTACTTATATGTGCAGTCGCCTTAACCCTTGGTTGTGGAAGTAGTATAATTATGAATTTAAAGAAAAAATGGGTTGAAACTGCTTCTATCACGAACCTACAACGAGGAAGACGACCAAAAAAAACAATTCGACAAGAGGATCAATCTCTTCTTGATGAGGTCATTTCATATCCATTTATTTCGGAAATTAGAAGAATTGAGTAGTTTTCCAGCTTCAGTTAGAACTGCGCGGAGGCGTAGGGCACTTTCCAAATTTCACCGATAAATTCACCGGTTAAATAAACCGGTAGCTGTCCAAAAATTCCGGTAAAAGTCAGATGCAAGTCCGGTTACAAATCTTTCTTCTGCATTTTGGAACGCTTTGGTGACAAAGTTTGGCGGTGTTGCTTATTATTTTTTGGAATGGATTTTTTTGTGGGATGCAGTGAGGTTGGTATGTATTTTTATTATTTTTAACAGTCAACAAACGGTAGTTTTCAGTACGATTTTTGTAGATTATGTGAGCTGAGTATTTGGTTTGTCGATTTCATAATGACGTCCACGCACAAACATTTTTTTATTCTGCCATCTGCAAGCAGCAATTTAACAATAGACTGCCAATGCGCAATAGTGCCCATTCAAAGCAATTAAATTAATGTACGTCAAAAAAAAGTGTCAATAAACCTCCAACCGAAGAAACCGACAAAAATTCCCGGTGGATTCGGTGCCTCACCGGTTTTAAACAGCTGATCATTCCGGTCAATTTTGGAACGAACGATCGGGTTCAACCGGTAAAAAGTCGGTACATTTTGGAACGGTTTGGTGAGTAAACTATTAAACCGGTATCGCACGGTTCAGAAACCGGTGAATTTTGGAAAGTGCCCGTATTAAGGAACTGGATTTAAATGTCATTCAGCGGCTCGTAAACTATTTTCAGTGCAAAAAAATAGACAGTGTCGATTACAGTTTGCTCAGTTATTATCTCAAGAACCTGAAAATTTCTGGAGCAATATAGTTTTCTCTGGCGAAAAAGTTTTTCAGTCATGCAATAGTAGCCCAACATTAAAAGTTTATAGGCCAAGACGAACCAGGTATGAGGAGGACTACATCCAATTTAATCAGTCTAGCGGAAGAGTTTCTGTCCATGCATGGGCGTGTATAACTGCTGAAGGTCCAGGGCAGATTTATTTTATTGATGGACTTCTGATTAGCGACAAATACATAATTAGATGTAATGCTGCCATCCGCTAATGAACGCTTTGGAGATAATTTTATGTTCCAGCATGTAAGATCATGTTAAGAGCGAAAATATTTGGGCCTACCTTACAAAAAAAATTACAATACCGAATTTAGACCTGCTTCGAAACAAGATTTGAAACAGTGCATAATCAATTAATGGTATGCTTCAACATTATTAACAGACAACTACAATTTTTGTATTCAATTTACTCAATGCCACGAAGATTGCAAGCAGTAGTTGATAAAAATGGAGGTACTACCAAATATCAAAATTTTTTGTAAGGAGTTAGTTTTTACTAGGCTAGATACAAAAGGAATTTTTATTTTTTAGTTAGGGTCCAAACAATGACATTGGGTCCAAAATTGAACTTGGTGGACATAACATTACACACGCCACTGACCACTTTTGTTGGTTACAGTTTTTGTCAGATTTTGATACAATACGAGGTGCGTTTTTAAAGTTTGTGCCAATTCCAATGGCCGCGACTGTACCACGGGAATTATCAGGTATTGATACCCACGGGTAATTGGTGTTCCTTGGGCCAGAGGCATTACGGTCCAGCATGTAAGATCATGTTAAGAGCGAAAATGTTTGGGCCTACCTTACAAAAAAAATTTACAATACAGAATTAAGACTTGCTTCGAAACAAGATTTAAACACTGCATAATCAATTAATGGTATGTTTTAACATTATTAACAGACAACTACAATTTTCATAATTCAATTTACTCAATGCCACGAAGATTGCAAGCAGTAGTTGATAAAAATGGAGGTGCTAC